TGACGCTAAAAGGTGCTTAGGGCGTTGCTTCCTCTCGTATCTCGGCATCGCACGATCAGCCCAGCCCACAACGTCTCCACTAATACTACGCAACCACGGTGGCACGTCAACCTGTACCTCTTGCCTGGCCTACCAATTCCTCCTGTATCATCACATCGAGCAGGTCACGTGAGCTAAGCCAATAAATCAACTTATTAATTAATTGTGTGTTTGCTTAACCAACCAAATTCGTCCTGCCGATCACTATGTTTCTGTCTGTCTTTGGTGAATAAATTCAAGTTAGCTACTTAGGCCGTTCAAATTATCTGATTCATTGGAGTTAAACGCAGTTAACGTGGAGTGGCAAATAAAACCCCCACAAGGTCTCCAACATGGGGGCCGAGCTACTATACTGAGAATGACACCACAGGACAGATGAGCCAGAGAGACCAATCAAGCACTGGCCTTATTAGGCAGAACACCTATGCACAAGTCCATCATAGAATGAACAGCAAAGTCTTGAGCACTGGCACTGCCCTGACTAACACACAAGCCTACTGCTCAGTGGCAGCAACTTCCTGTCAACGGCATTGCACCCCAGCCCCTGTGGACCAGCAAACACTACCACCTTCAGGTCCTTCCTCCTGCTGCCTGCAAGCCAACAACCAAGGCCCACGTTAAATCCTGATTTATTTGATCGCCTCTGCAGATTCCTTGTAGATTTGCTTGCTTTACCCCTGCATCATGAGTCTCGTGATAAGTCTAAGTCCTTGATTCGGACCGCAATGCAAAAACACTTTGAAATTGACCTCCCACCAGTTGGGCCACCACCGACACCGTCCTGCAAGCCAGATAAACAGAGAGCAAAGAGACCGAGTCCACATGCATACAATGCCCCTAATATGTCCCTTCTGCTGATGATGTCTGCTCTGCTGCTCTATTTAGAATAGAATAATAGAATAGAAGTGTCGGCGCTGAAGAAATAGGCCCATGGCCTGTTGCCGATTCTTGAACTTTTCGTGACTTGATTCACAAGGGATCCGGCCTTTGGAACCCGATCTTTCCATAGCACGATGTGCAGGGATTTATTCGATGTCCTCGTATCTGAATTCAGAACGCAATTCATAAATCCTTAAATTAAAAATAGAGAATCGTGAAATGCTCATCCTACGAGCTCGTTTAACATTGAAGTAGTTTTGATTTGTCGTTATTTCATGATGTAGTACATTCAGAATATTACTCTTATGTAATTTATTTCTTTAACTTTACCCATTTAAACGTTCTTAGAATCACAAATTTATTCAATGTATCTTATAGAAATTCTAATGTGCAGGATTTCATCGTGGCAAGAGGATAGCTGGATAGTAAAGAAAGAAACGAAGATCGTCTTTTTTTGATCCTTACCGTCCTCGGACCCGCGATTAGGCAGCTACGGTACGCCACAAAAGTGGTAAATCTACCGGAGCCGCGACATAATTAAAAAACATTCAATGCATATATGTATTCCCACTGACTTTCCTCTTTATAACAAAATTCACAATCTTTCTTTTTATTTGTTTCGTTCTCGCTGGAACTCTCTTCCCCACGCAGTGTCCAAATTGTTATTGCAGTTCGAGACCACTGTGGCGCGACTTCAATGAATTTGATGATTTTCGCTTGCCACAAATTTTATGGCACACCGCATTTCGTTGGCATCACAGCCGCAGGCTGCAGTTCAAAAATTATCATTAGAATTATAGTGTGATAAAATAATATCGTTTGTCTAGAAATGCCTTAATTACCCAGTAAGTTTGTTATCGATGTGACAACAATTGTGCAAAATTTTCTATTTCAAAATCTGCACAAAATTTCTTATTTTCATTTTAATCGTACAATTATTATGATATAACCTAATCATCATTGTAAAACAAGACAATCATTATTAGCATCGGTCTGTTTAAACCAGTGTATTTCATTGCTAAAGCAAATGCTAGCAAAATGACGGACATTTTAACTTGAATGATTAATTAGCAACTGCTTATTAATTAGAATGCTTATTGATGGGTAAGTTTAAAGCGAGTGAATCATCTCTTTTAAATTAAAGGGCAGCTCATATATTAGAGTGCGAAACTTTAATAATCGTTTCGCAAGTGCAAATTATTATAAAGTAGGTATTTTACATTCAGATAAGCAATAGCATCAACTTGTTAGTTTCAAAATTTGAGAAGATACATTTGCCTATATACCGTACTATTTGTCATTCGCAGGGCCTAATCTAAATACAATGCAATATATGAACATGCAACATAATACTACATAAATATTCAAACATCGTTCGAAATTCGAATTATTGGCAAAATATAGATAAAGAGATACCTAAGCAATTATGAACTTTATTGGGAAAGTTATCAAACATTGACACAAACTTGTGCGGGCTCAACGGGTAGGGAAAAGTCGACGTGCTTTTTCTCCCGTTTATTTCATATACTTGTGTGACGTAAGCTGAAAATAAGATTTAATATTAGTTAATAGGTCGAGATAGACATACATAAAACTTACACTGGGCTCATTGACTCTCATTGTTTAGACTCAAGTACTAAACGTTATAGAATAGATGAACGTTATTAATTGACGTCTCAAGTTCTCGATAACAACATTACAACTGGCATGACAGGAATTGTTTATGTCGGCATGGCCGCAATATTTCATTTGTTACACGAGGTGGTTTGGCAGGCAAGAAGAAGAGACTATTACTGGCGACAGTCTGGCGTTTTCTAGCTTATGCTAGCGTTTGCCAACGCTGGGTTGGGCTCGAAATTGATTACTAAGTATGACAGTGCCAACGCTGGGTTGGGCTTTGTTTACGATTAGTGCCAACGGCTGCGGTTGGGCTTGGCCTACGATTACGATACCTGAAATCATGAGGTTGGAGGTTAAGTTTAGATGACAATATCTTAAAGTTACCTAAAATGCTTCAAATTAAAAGAAATGTAATGAATCACAAGTCTGCAGACTGCAGGGATGCGTGTAGACGACGCGGGGAACAAAGTAGTTTCCCGCGAAAATTTTCTTTATGACTGAGTCGAAGAAAATGGAACAGTGTCTCTCTTACATGGCTACTTAATATTCAAATAATTATAACGGCAAAGGTGAGGCAAATGGCCTACAAAACATCAAGTCAATACACGGGCCAGGCAATAAGACCAGCAGCTATCTCAATCAATCGTCAGCTATGGAAAGATCGGGTTCCAAAGGCCGGATCCCTTGTGAATCAAGTCACGAAAAGTTCAAGAATCGGCAACAGGCCATGGGCCTATTTCTTCAGCGCCGACACATCTATTCTATTCTATATCCAGTTATGCAACAAATATTTACTTTTCAAAATAATTACTCCTAGACAAATTCATGCTAGAAAATAGATATCAACTATGATATAAGAGCCTATGAGCAGTTGTTCGTGACGATGGCCGCCAACAATGTCTAGACGCAGCGTTACTTACAGTAACGACTATAATATTCACTCAATGACATGAACATGGAATTACAAATTCTAGAATCATACACATTAATGAACGATGGAGAAATATATAAGCCTAATGAGCTATAGCAACATATTAAAGGTAACACCGGGACCGGGAGGGCTCGTGGAGCAACACACTACTTGCTTGAGCTCTGGACAAGCACCAGTTGTTGGCATCCGTCCATCTCGAGAGATGATGGTGTGCACCCCTTCCGTCATCGCACAACACGCTGTCGGCAGCGCCTCGAGTGGCTCGTCATGCCGATTCGGGCATGGCAGTCACGACCGCAGTTGACGCAAATAAAGCACGATGGTGCGACGATGTTGTTCCTTGTCTGCTGTCTGGCTTTCCGGAGACGGTGCTTGTCTTCAAGCTCACGGCTGCGCAGCTCCTCACCCCTCAGGACTCCCTCCCGAACGGCCCGCCGCCAAACGCAGCGGTCGACCACAAGCCGCTCCCAGGTTTGAGGGTCGATAAATGCTGTTCTGAGGCTGCGCTTGCAGACGTCTTTGAAGTGCAAAGCCGGACGGCCGGTTGGGCACGCACCCACATCTAGTTCCCCGTAGAGCAGGTCCTTGGAAATGCGACCATCCTGCATGCGATGCACGTGTCTGAGCCACAGGAGATGGCGCCGGCACAGGAGGAGATGCATGCTCATTGTGCCGGCTTGTTCCAAACCAGCTGTGTTTGTGACCCTGTCCTCCCATGTGATGTTAAGGATGCGGCGGAGGCAGCGAATTAAGGTGAAAGCACTCTAGACGGTTTTCCTGTTTAGATTATGTGGTCCAGGTTTCGCTGCCGTACAGAAGGGTACTAGTGACGCACGCATGATACACTTTCAGCTTAGTGTGAAGCGACAACCGCCTGTTGGACGACACCCTTTCGTTCAGTCTGGCCATCACACTTGACGCTTTTGCAATCCTCTTGTCGATCTTGCTATCGAGGGACAGGTTGTTGCTGATAGTGGAGCCCAGGTAGGTGAAACGCTCGGCGACTTCGAGCTGATTACCGTCAATGGTGATAGATGGGGGCACTAAAACATCCTGACCCATAACATTTGTTTTCCTGATGTTGATTGTCAGGCCAAACTCCCTGCAGGCGTGAGCGAAGCAGCCCAACAGCCTTTGCAGATACTCCTCGGTGTGGGAGGACAGCGCCGACTCATCAGCAAAGAGCAACTCTCTGATGAGGACAGCGCGGACCTTTGTTCTTGCTCTCAAACGAGCCAGGTTGAAGAGTTTGCCATCGCTTCTGGTGTGTAAAAGGATGCCCTCAGTTGAGTCTCTGAACGCGAACTTGAGCAGCAGTGAGAAGAAGATGCCGAAGAGAGTAGGGGCCAGGACACAGCCCTGTTTTACTCTGCTTTTGATACTAAAAGGCTCTGAGGTATTGCCATCATGGCTGACTATGCCCTGCATGTCGTAATGGAAGGAAGAGACGATGCTGAGAAGACGGGGGGACAACCTATCTTCCTCAGCAGCAAGAACAGACCTCTCCAGCTGACAAGATCAAACGCTCTTGTCAGGTCGATGAACGCAATGTACAAAGGCCCCGCTGCTCACGGCACTTCTCCTGCAGCTGGCGTAATGAGAAAATCATGTCTGATGTGCCTCTCTGGGCTCTGAAACCGCACTGGGATTCCGGGTAAACGCGATCAGCGAGGGCTTGTAGGTGACCGAGCACCACACGGGCGAAGACCTTGCCCACAATGCTGAGTAGCGATATCCCTCTGTAGTTGTTGCAGTCGCTACGATCGCCTTTGTTTTTGTACAAAGTGATAATCTTTGCGTTGCGCATGTCTTGCGGTACCTGGCCCTCCCTCCAGCAAAGACATAAGAGCTCGTGTAGGGGGCCAAGTAAGGCCGGCTTGCCACTTTTGATGACCTCTGGGGGTATTCCATCTTCTCCAGCTGCCTTCCCACAGGGGAGGATGTTGATGGCTTTGTTTAGCTCTTCGACAGATGGTTCAGCATCCAAAGCATCGAGGGAAGGCAAGTTCTCAATGGCGTCCAGCTCTTCCTGCGAGACGTTGTTAACGTTGGAGTAAAGGTCGAGATAGTGTTCAACCCATCTATTCAACTGTTTGGTCCTGCTGGAGATAAGCTCGCCCAACCTGGACCTCAACAGAGCCGTCCTCATCACCGGTCTCCCAGTTGCTCGCTTGATCCCCTCGTACATGCCTCTAACATTGCCTGAGTCTGAGGCCCGCTGAATGCTGTCCGACAGCTGCAGCCAGTAGTTGTTTGCGCAGCGGCGAGCTATTTGTTGGGCCCGCTTCCGAGCCGCTCTCAATACCTGTAGGTTCCGCTGGCTTGGATCACTTTTGTATTTAAGCATTGCTCTTCTTTTGCTGCTGATGGCAGGTTCCAACTCACCGATGTTGGCCACAAAGCAGTCAGCACTATTTCGCTCCTTTATGCCATAGGCCAAGACAGCACACAGCAGCATTATAGATGGCGCTGCGGAGAGAGCACCACCCACCGACTGCGCGCTCTGCTCGTTCGGCAGGGAGCAGCTCCGCAAGATGCTCGACTAGAATTTGGTTTCTAGCGGGACAGGAGGCCTTGCTGGCATCAATTCTTGGCTGGCATTTCCTCTTGAGAGTGTGTAATTTGTTTGGTTTAATTTTGATGTTGGATATGACCAAAGAGTGGTCAGTATCGCAGTCGGCGCTGTGGTATACTCTTGTGTTTCGCACGCTGTTCAAAGAGCCGCGGCGTGTGATAATTAAGTCCAGCTGGTGGCTGGTGCTAGTGCTTCGATCTGGGATGTCTCCACGATGCCTTGTGGCATAGTTTGTTCTGGAAGAACGTATTTGTCACGCACAAGTTGTGGTGGCAGCAGAATTCCAGCAATCTCTGGCCGTTTTCATTCATTTTCCCGATGCCGTGATGACCCAGCACTTCAGGCCAGGACTCGTGGTCTGTCCCAACTCTGGCATTGAAGTCGCCCACGAGGTAAATATGCTCCGGCATTGGGATATTGTCAATGGTATTCGCCAAGAGTTCGTAGAACCTATCCTTGGTCTCAGGCGGTGCTTGGAGCGTTGGTGCGTAGACACAAATTATGTTTGCAAAACCAGCCGACGTTGAGAGACGTAGGGTGCCACCATGCGGGGGCTCATTCGTGCGAAGCAGGGTGTTCCTGACGGCAAAGCCAACTCCATGCTCCCTCACATCCCCGATAACTCTCCCCTGCCAGAAGAAGGTGTAGTGTTCCTCTCTTAGGGAGCCCTCTTCTGGGAGTTGAGTTTCCTGCAGCGCTGCTATATCCACGTTTAGTCTATGCTTGCGTGTATGTTTAGTCTATGCCACGCAAGACCCTGTCAATCATTGCGGTCTTGCGAAAGTCTGAAATGACACGGAGGTCGTCGGACAAGCCGGTGCGCATCGTTCGCACGTTCCAGCTTAAGATTCGAAGTGGTAGAGACTCCATCTGCTGCTGCGGTACAATGACTCCCACTGTCCCGGAGTCCAACTCTACGCTAGTTGAGCAAGGAATTAATGCCCGTTAGTTATCGTACTTAACGTCTTTCGTTTGTGCTCACACACCGAACAAGCGTGACAAGCGTGACCTCAGGGGCACAAGCCTGGGCGGAAGTATGGAGATCTTGCGCTGCCCAAACAACAGGATCACCCCCTCGGTCGTGCCGACTGGGTCCAAGGGAATGCAAGCATTACGTTTGGAGCCGACTTGACTGCAGGAGTTGCTGGGAGGATGTCCAAGTTTCCAGCCGCCTTAGGAAGTCCAACTCCAGATTTTTCCTCAAGGTTTACTCCTGAAGCCTTTCCCGCGTGTAGGTGTAGCCACAAGGCAGCGGAGGTTTTTTAAAAATCAGGGTTTTCCTTCCCCTAGATGGGCAGTCATTCTTGACTAACAAGCCCCATATACCCGGAAACAATCACTGCGTGTAGAGTAAAAATAGACTGGAACTGTACATATGCGTCTTTTGATAATAGTAGTAAATTACTTGGGCGATTGCATGACCTTGGTTCCGGACATTTGTGTAGGACCTTCGAATGTGTGAGCCACAGATAAAGGCGAGCTTTGGCTAGCAAAGTCCCGCTGTGGCCACTCCGTAAAACTGACTCTGAAAAAGCGAAAAACCATCCAAACTCCAGCTGCTTAGGCTGCCAAAGAAAACACAATTTGGCCGCCAAGCACCGTTGCCCGAGGATTTCACTGCTAGACGCGGCTGAAGTACTTCCGTTTTCACGGTTTACGTAGCCGCGCGTTGGTCGGCCAGTAGTGACGTGGATGTGACGTCTGTCACCTATGGTGGAATTTCCGAAAAGGTCAACTAAGATGGAGTTCAGTAGAAACGGATGGAGTTCAGTTACTTATTTCATAAGTATCGTGACTAAAATGCAGTAAAATGCAGTTACACAGTAAGACGTGGTAAGGGATCTGTGAAAATCCCAGTCAAGATGAACCAGATAAAATCTTTCCTGCCGTCGTAATTTCACCGTTTCACTCCAGTTTATTTTCATTAAGCGTTCACTCTAGTATATTTCATAAAACACTTGACAAACTTCAGCCCTGGTCCTGCCAGTTTCACTCCAACATATTTTCATAAAGCGTTCGATCCAGTATATTTCATAAACACTTCCTTTAACACACACAGTAAAAACGTGGTAAAGGGAACAGTGAGAAATCAAGATGCACTGAACACACATTAAGGGTGGAATTTTACACTAGAGTACATTTTATTGGGCAATCTTAGGGCCGTAGCCCGCTTAAACGTGCTGAAGGCTCAGAAAAACGTGGTAAGACGCTGCTGGTAACGTGGGAACCGCTTGACTCTTGCGGGCTCGCTACGGGGAGCGCTGCTGTAGCCCAAAAATTTGACTCTTTTATCAGCCCAAGAGCCAATGCCAACCCTCTACATGCAATAGAAATAGTCAGCCTAACACGGTAACACCTATGCAGCTGTTCTTACTTGCCTCATCTCTCCACACCAGCTTGAAACAAGCAATGCCTCAGCTCACAAGCTGATACTCCAAACGGATTACGCCCAATAGCTCCTACACCAATGATTTAAGCCCATACCATCACTTCTTACAAATGTCGTAAGCCACAGTTCATTTACCACTTTGTGGTAACTTCGTTGATCTTTGCGATATTTTTCACGCACTTGTGGAGTGAACGCCGTGATGAGTGAAGATTTTAAGAAAGAATAGATGAGGATAGGAAAATTTAGTGCGTTGAATCTGACGAGTGACGAACGACGTCACAAACATTAAGCTTAGTACGGCGCAATTGAATGATTACCATGCATAATAAATGATAAAATAATCACCTTGGCCTGGATAGTATCGCAAAATTCGGGTTCTTGTGTTAGCAAGTTTCATTAATAATGAACTGCATGCACCGTATCATTGTTCTGTATTCATTAATTAGATCACTTGTCTCATGCAGGATCTCCCTAGCTCTCATGGCTGAGTGCGGAGTAATTTTTGTTCACAAAGACTCACTCATTTGTCATAAGAACTGAATTATTCAGCCAAAAATATTCACCTTCTCATTTTAAAATGCACATAATTTTATTTTGCGCAAAAACACACTTTATAATTGTGCAATTATATATCAGCAAAATCATAATAGCACTGTAACTGTAAATACATTATATTCTCATAAGAAATGTGTGCATTATACCTGTGGACAATGAAAATTGCTATGATGTTTCTCATCGTTTAAACTGAACTCGTTCGTTTCATGTGCAATTAGTTTGAACTTAACATGATCTACTATATAGTCTTTGACTGTCGAGTCTATTCATTACTGTTAAAGTACATAACAATAGACAATTGTTCGCAGTCTTTTTTAAAGTTTAAATCTACAGTTTGAAATTACTTGAATATCTCAAAACAGCAATTCATTACTATGACAATTAATGCAATTGGTTGGATGATATATTTTATCTCTATTGAAAAAGTGATATAAAAATATAGAGTAGAATCAATGAGTACTGCATTCTAAATCTCAACACAAATTTAATCGACATTATACACTTGAACAGGAAAATGTTGCATAAACATTGGCAAAATTAGTTATTTTAGTGCTACCTAGATATTAGAAAAACACAATAATAAAGAAATTTTTCACATGAAGGAAAACTATCCACACCACCGAAAAGTCTTTTGTGATGGTTCACAGCTAGGAGATGGCTCATCTACAGCCTGTGGAGTATTTTTACCAGATGAAGCTCGGACTGTTGCCTGGTGCCTCCATCCAATGCATAACGTACTCTTTGCCGAACTACATGCTATCTTGCAGGCACTTGTCATCATCTCTGAGAAGGCACCGGCATGGTGGGTAGTGTGCTCTGACTCTAGGTCAGCACTGCAACTCATTGAAACCCCAAGCTTCTCTTGCACACGCATAGTTCATAAGATTCGTGAACACCTGCTGGCCCAGCACTCAGCACATGGGTTGACTGTTACCCTGCAGTGCGTAAAAGGCCATGCTGGTATTCATGGCAATGAGGTAGCTGACAAGGTTGCGCAGCTGGGCCACTCACTTGACTTCAGTGCACTCTCACGTGTTGAGCAATCAGACCGTCTGAGCTGCCTGTGAAGGGGACTGCATGAGCGCTGGTTGGACTCTTGGGCAACAGGGAAGGACCGATGTAAGGGCAACAGGGAAGGGCACCCACTTGACCACAATACGCATCAAACTGTCCCCTGTCCCATGGGTGGTTGCTCCGACTCGTAGGGCTGCTGTCAGCTTGGCCCGCCTCCGCCTGGGCCATTCGGGCCTGAATGCCCATCTGTATCGATTTGGTATGTCACCCTCACCAATGTGTACCCACTACAACGTAGAGGACACAATTGAACACGTCCTTCTTCATTGTGGACTACACATTGAAGCCTGAAGAATACTTGAAAATGCTGTGGACCTCCACGGGGTTAGCCCCCTCACAGTGCAAGACCTGCAGGGCGGAGGAGACTTCACACGGAATGCACAGTTTGCCATTGTAAAAGTTATGGCTGAATATATCAAGAGTACTAGACGCCTGAATGATCTCTGAAAGCTGTTCAAGACTGCCTTGAAACAATATACTTCAAACTAAGTAACCCATTGAAGATCATATGATAAATCCAGGTGTAACAAGTGCCCTGTCGAGGGACATTTATGCAACCTCAAAACGGACTACATACATACACATACTTACGTTTCTCGATCTACGTGACGTAACAAGAGAACTGAACTGAAAGACGGAACTTTTCGTTGGTCAACCTTATATAGTTCAACCATTGTCCAATACATCCAGTGGTGGTCTTCGGCATGGTTGAACTATATTGAGGATTCCGGTTCGAGCTGCGGTCGACAACGGTCGTAAGTAAGTTCCTAAGCCTACATCTTTAATTTCTATTTTGAAACTCGTGATAACTGTGTTCTTGAACTCTAAGAATTAATCAATAGCGCGACATTGTTAACTTCGAAGA